AAATTGCCAAATTTTCACTACAAAATTGAGTCCTCTAGCCTAACGCGATTTAACATTTCCCTTCGCTTGCTTCTCTTATTTTCATATTCAAGTTTTCAAAACTATTGCATATCCACCTACTACTTTTTTCTTCCTTTTTGGTGGACTCTTCATATTAGCTCTCTGGCTTGCGTCTCATTTCTCAAAAAAAAAAAAAAAAAAAAAAAATACATAGTTTTTTTCGTTTTCATCTTAAATGCAATTTAGTCCTTATTCCCCCAACTACTTGCCTTAATTTAACATTAATTTTTTTCACATTTTTCTTTGCTTCCCTAAAAATTAACGCTCTCACAACAGCCGTCTAACTGTCTGTTTGCCTGTTCAGGCTACGTCTTAACCGCTAGCGAATGCACACATTTTGTTGGTTTTCTTTATAGTCATTCGCGTGAATGCCGCGCATGCGTGCTCAAACCCATTACACCCATTCAACGGATTGCGCTTTGACCAACAGCTCTTTATTATCATCCGTCTATCAACTTGTTTTTAACTTATTCATTTAATCAATTTTTTCTTTAATTTGTGTTCGTAAACGAAATCCTTCAATACAAATGTATATAACAAATTTTCATACATACATACATGCATATATTTATAATGTAGGTATGTATGTATGCGTTTGGAGACGGAAAGTACAATGTATGTATTAGTGTGGCTTCCATTTATTACTCTTCTTCTGCTTCTGCTCCTCTTCTTATTTATCTTCTTCAGCTTCCTCATTTTATATGCAAATCGGCATTTACATACACACACATATATATATATATATATATATGTATAAGTATGTATGTGTTTTAATCAACTTCAATGCTACTTAAATACTCTTTTTTCAGTTTTCAGTTTCGTTACAAACTATTATTATATGTGTTTAAATTTTTTTCTTTTCAAAAAGTAACAAATAAAATATAACGGTTAAATGTCATTTATAAAATGAAAGATTCAAAGAAATTCAACAATCGTGTGTAAAATTTCAAGTAAACTTTGTTTTTCTCCTCCTTCATTCTTCATTCTTCACTCTTCATTTTCTATTTTACGTTTCCTTCGCTATTACCTTCAACATCATTGCATCTTTCATTCCATTTATCGTCTGTTACTTCTTATTACTGCTTCCTACTTTTAGTATTAAATAAATAAATTGGTTTCACCCATTCTACTCCTTCACTACTGTTCGCCTCTCACGATTTCATTCAAAATGTAAATACTTTAATGTACTCTATTAAAGACATTCAAAATTCCTTGCATCTTTTGCGGGTATTTAGTGATTGATTTTTAATTTTAAATCTTTTTTTATCTTTTGGCGCTTCTAATCGTCTAACTTGCTATTGGCTGACGAGCTTTATCTTTTGTTTTTTTTGTTTTTAATATGCAAAAATACACACATACATAGACCACCGGCTGTTACAAGTGACCTTAACGGCATTTTCCCCTTCATTTAATTTTCTCGCGCGCCCTCGACTTGCTTGCCAGCCCTTGCTGGGCAGCCATTTTCTTAAGGTTTAATACTCTTCAAAAATTCTTTTCACCCGCTTACTAATTTTTCACACTTTTTCGAACTGTATTCCATGCAATTTCATCCTTTAATTAGTTAGCGCTTTCTTCCTATTAAGCATTTCTTCTTCTTTTGCATTCAACTTTTCATGTGATTTTGCTTTTGCTTTTTCTTCTTCTCTTCTCTTCTTGCGCATTGCTTCTCTTGTTCTCTTTATTTTTATTAGTAAGTATGTATGTATGTGTATGTTTAACTTAGTCTTTACATTTCTCTTCATTTTAGTTTTATATCCTTAAAATGTTTCGTTACTGCTCATTCACTAGCACAGTATCATCATATTCGCATACAAATATAAAATATATACTTTATGTTCTTTTAATTTTCTTCATATGCTCTCCTAGTTTTGGTTGCCATTTCTTTCTTTTATTAGCATTGTTGCAGTAAACTGCAATAAATATTGGAATCTGTAGTCACTTTTACTATTTTCGTAGGGCAACTGTTTTCATTTTGTTTTTGTTTTATTTTCTAAGTTTGTTTTATGTTTATTGCTGCCGGTTGTCACCGATTTCCTTGTTGCTGTTGCTGTTGCTGTTACTGTTGTTTTTGTTTCATTTGTTCAAAGGTTGTTGTAATATTGTATTGTTGTTGTGTTCTGAATCGCTTTGTCCCTCCTTGTCGTTTTAATTTTTGTTGTTTTTGTTGCTGTTGTTTATTACTATAGTATCTTCTGCTGCTGTTGCATATGTTTGTTTGGTTTTTTTTTTGTTATTCGCGTTTATCCGATTCCATTTCCAGCTCCCATTAGAGAGTCAATCGCGGCATCATAATATTACATCTGTAAAAAGAAATGATATTTATTCAAGGCGGGTACTATTTCATAAAAACATTGTCTTTGTAGCAATATAAAAAAGTATTTGTATTCGCTAAATTTACATATGTATATACCATTCTGTGTCGACACAAATTATTTTCATTACTAGGGTATACTAACTCAGTGATCTAGCCAGACCTAACGTGATAATTCCTAATGATCACTCCAATCAAAGCATTACTTTTAAAATTAAGTAATTTTCGGATGTCTAGTTTCCTATTCAGAATATAGACAGTAGCTGTTTTATGTAAATTAGTGAACCCGCATCTAAATCCGCTTCTGAGTGAAGGGAGGGCTCATATAGTGTCGGTTTTTAATTTTATAAAATTTCAAATCACCCTGTACCGATCAAAAATTACTAACTTCAAGATATAAAACTTTATCTAATTCTAATCTTTGAAATTCGAAAGCACGGCGCAAATTTAATAACCTTCACAAAAAAAAATATCTTCTCATATAATATACATACATATTTTCCTACTAACTTAGATCGATATGACTTTTCGAAAAGGTTGTAAGCCTAATCAAGGATATTTTCAAACTAAGACCTTTAAAAATCTCTTTCGTCGGACACCCATATTGTGATACATATGTATGACTTTCAAACATGTGGCAACCTTCCTAAATTTATTTCAGAAGTAGAGCCTTTTAATTTGAGTGTAACTTTTTAAACACGTGGCAGCCCTCCTCAAACATTCCAAATGCTCAAACTAAAGATGTCTTACCACTCAAAAAACTTATGTATAAGCTAATACAATATGATTTTTCAAACAGGTGGCAACTCTCTTCAAAAGTATATTCAACTCATTTAACTCTCCTTTGTCTGACATTGCGAAACATATTTTAATTAACTAATGAATTTTGTTTGATTTTTTAAACATATGGCAACCCCAATAAATATGGTTCGGAAATAAAGCCTTTTAAAACCCATTTTGACTGTTAACAGTCTTTCAATAACTCCTTTAACTGATTGAATAATTTGAATTTAAATTTTTAAACAGGTGGCAACCCTCTTTAAACATCTCAAAAATATTCCTAGGGCTGGATTCTCAATGTCTGATTTACTCTAATCTCCGGTCAAACATCGTTATCGTCGTTACTGAGTCCATGCCTATAACACTGTGTCGGTAAAGTCGGCAACGATGTTTAACTGGGGTTTAGTGTTAACCAGACATTGAGAAACTGGCCCTTAGTGTTTAAACCAAAGATTTCTTAACACTCTTTCGTTTGACACTCATATTTTAATATTTCATATCACTTGTGTATAAGCTAACTAAATTCAACTTTTCAAGTAGGTGGCAACACTCCTACTAATGTATTCTTAAACCCCTTTCTTCTAGCGCCCATTTGGTGATCCATATTTCTCTTACTTAATTTCCTTAATTCAAATTGAACTTGATTTTTTAAACCGGTAACAACCCTCTTATAGTTCAGTTAAGAAACAAAGCTTTACAAACCCATTTCGATCGATACCTATTTTGTAATAATTGATTTATTTGTTTAGATAATTATATTCAACGATTTTTAGATAATTTTCATTAATTTTTTTAATGTAGCAGCTCTTTTCAAAGAAGTAAAACCTCATCTACAACCCAAGCCTTATAATTTGACACCTTATTTTGAATGGAGCGAACGGTGCAGATCTGATGATCTGGACAAAAAATCCCATCGCGTATTAAACATATACATATATATATACTAGTGAACCCGCATGGCGCAAAAACGCCCAAAATTGAATTTAACATTTTAAATAGGTGACAACTCTATGCAAAAAACAAAATATATATTCCAAATGTTTCATCTAATTCCGTCCGGTCGTTTCTTAGAGAAGAGATTCACGCATGATGTTGGTTCTCATTTCATAAAATTTCAATCACCCTGTACATCTGTTTTTTGAAATTCGAAATAACTGTACTGTCTGATGCCCTTAACAAAATATGTCTTCGCGTGCTATATAAGTATGTGTACTCAATCAGATAGATGATATAGGTGCAAACGCTAATAAAAAAATGTTAATATTTCATTTAACATGTGTATAAGTTAATTAAATTCCGCTTTACAAACTGGTGGCAACCCTTTTTAAAAATCTTTGCAATCTTTTCGCCCGACATTGTGATATTTAAATAAGTCGGCAACGATATTTTTGTGTATTTCACTGACGTTATTCTATTGCAAGGTGTGTTTGATATGGAGGAAAAATTAATCGAGGTCGTACGGAATTGTTTCACGAAAAATATATGGATTTCGGGTTTAAAAATCATATTTGGAATCCTCGTTTTATCTAAGCCTTGTGAGCTCATTTTCGCTTTTTTATTTGATTTTCTGTTTTTTTTTTTTCATCTAGAGCTATAATTGCCAATTCATCATTGGTAAAATAAGTAATTTTTCTACACTGAACTTCACTTTACTGAAAGCAACGGCTGGCATACTACGGATGTGTGTAATTGGTATCACTGATCGATACTGATTGGCGCTGATACCGGCACGGCACTGCACTCGATTCTCCAAAAACAAAAATATTTTATGATGATGAAATACTAACTTATCAGAAGTAATTGAGAATAAACTACCCCGCTTATCAAAGAAAGTTATCAAGTGATTGACGTGGACGGCCTTAAAAATCGCGTGAATGAGAATTAAAATGCACAAAAATCCAATTAAATTGGACTAAGGACACACATCAAAAATCTAAATTTTTGTAACGAAAATATTTTAAGTATTTTATCTGCTAATATGTACATTTGTTAACCGTAATTTTTCGTTTTGTGTTCATTTGCGTAATAGTGGGTTATTTTTGTAAAATTAGCAGAATTCCGGACATATTTGTATAAGTAATTTTGTCCACCTAAATTGTTGAAATATCGCACTGTGCTTTCGGTTGCACACACCATGATACAAATATAGTAAGGTAGAACCGCTGAGAGTCACTTTTAAGATTCTTGACGTTTCCAAACAATTTAATTTTTAAATTTACTCACAAACTCACACACAAATTTTCATTTTCAATCTCAAGCAACAACAATTTCGAACAATTTCAATTTTTTATTTTCACTTTTATATGATTTTAAAATGTTGGCAAACTTCAAAAAAAAATCATGGCCGACAAATTGAGAGAACGGTTCTACCTTGCTATGTTTTTATCATGGCACACACTACCTATAGAGAAATACGAGGGTCACTAACAAGTCCTTAGATCAATGCCAACGCTGTGCACAGGACGATAATGGAAGATCGTTGCGTGAAATTAGGGTGTCCGTTATTTCGAAATTCAAATTGTTTTGCTTTTTCTGCCGCCCCATGAAATTTTGGTTTTGTTTTGGTTTGCCTTTAAAAAATATTCAATCAATAAATTTCTTAATTTTCAAACTAAACCGTGCCAAAATCATTTTACATTTCTCATTTCAATAACATGAGCATTTTGGGCTTTTTGCATACACATTTGTTTTCAAAAACAAGTAAGGTTAAAAATGACCAATATATCGTTTTCTAAAAATTTGTGTGCTTCACAAAAAAGGTTTCTTATGAATTTTTGTTAAATGTACGCCTCCAAAAGTTATTCAAGTGTACATTGCAGCACCTACTTGGTATACACGGCGTATGTGTGATGGTGAAATACAAAGTGGCCATATGCTCACTATCGTGAAGTTATGGGATTTTTGTTGATTTTCATGTACACAAACATACAAACATACATACGTACTAGGATGTCCGTTATGTCCCAAAATGGAACGGCAGTAAAACTTGAAAAATTATGAGGGTCTTCTCACTTAAGAAGTTTTTTCTTTTTAGCATAAAATTTTTTTTTCTCTGAAACAAATATTTCAGCAGGGGAAATAGGGAAATAACGGACACTCTAATGTGGTATATAGTGATATTCAGTATTCAACACTAAAAACGGCTCACGTCGATTAGTGCATCCAAGCCCTGCAAAAATGCAAGCACGCCACGACCAGACAGTTTAATTCCATCGTAATAGGTGACGTAACTTCGATATACCCGCAAAAAAAAGGCCAATGAGCTATTTGGCTCTTTCGAATTATGGGAAAAACCAACAAAGTTTTTGAAACAAATTGTCGCTTCTTTCTACGCAATAACGGGTCTTGGGCTTAGAAGACGCTAGAATAGCTCATTCTTGGTGCCATGCAACAATTTCTTTCGCAACAGTTTTAGAGGACAATTTCATTACAAATCACACTGCTCATTCTTACCCAGCGGTATTCGCAAGAGAGAAGTATATCCAGCCTGAACAGTAACGTTTATGCCATACCATTTGCAATACCAACTGATTTCCTTCGGCTTAAGAAATGCTAAATCGATTTATAGCATTAGGTTTCAGGTATGATGTATGGCATGTAATTAACATGCACTCCACATTTCAGAACTTATAGTCAAATAACGATAATATAAATGTCAATCAAAAATTATTTCGGATGTAAACACTACGCTTGTCCGGGTTTAGTAAATGTTGTGGTTTTACAACACAACAAAGTCCGAAGATACAGCTTCATACAATTTCATTCCATGCGAGGCTTTATTTCAGGCCTAAATTGGTCATGCCAATACCAAAAAAAAAAAATCTTTGGGCAGTAAGACTCTTTGAAATTGCGGGTTTATATCGTGCAACAGGTCGTATGAGTAACATTAATTTGTATGCGTATATACAAGTCAGCCTACACTGACACTGACTTGCCATTTTCTTTATGAAATGCATGGAACTTTCCTTGATGTGGTTGCAGACTTCTTTATTTTGTGTTCCATTTACCGGAACCTTTTCTTTCGACTAATATTCGAGTCAGCTTCAAACTGTTTATCAACGCGGCAATCTGTTTTTGGGGTAACACCCACCTCTCTGGCAACTTTTCTAAAATACCAAGTACAGTTTGGTAGGGGCGTTGACCACCCTTCTTAACAAGATGGCGGCGATCCTACAACTGCCTGAGTCCCACAAATGGAATTCTACATTC